GATAGAAAATGATTTGTATATTTAGTTAATAAATCATAATTTGTTCTATAAATAATATAAAATAATTTAAAAAAACTTTCTTCAATATTTATATATATAACAACAGTCTATAATAATAACAATAATAACAATCTATAATATTTAAAAATATTAAAAAATTACATTTTACATTTAGAGCTTCAGAATATGTATGTCTATTGATTTGTAGAAATATTTTAATAATAATATGCATTACAATTTACATTAAAATTTGTTATGTAAGTGCAAATAAATTAGAAACTAATAAATTTGCAATGCCATACTTATTGAGGGAGATCAAAAATACATTAAAGATTTAAATCTTTTTGTACAGCTAACATACGTATAGATATAGTAATCAGTAATGAAATAGTTGCAAGAAATAGATATCGCATAAAGATTTATCGTATTTTTCATTGAAATATTTATAAAAATAATTTTATATGTATCATACAAAAATAAGAAACGATATGTATTTTAATTCTATCGCAACAATAGAAAACAACAAGAGCAATTTAACGCTTATAGTTTATGAGCAAAAACAAAAGATCAAGTTAACATTTGCATTATCTGTTAAAAATTCATAGAGTTAAAAGTATAAATTTATGCCATAATCAAATGAGCGGATATTCTCATAATTTATTAGTGTGCTAGTTATATTTGACGAATTGATCCGAGGTACTTTCACTTTGAGATATATAAATTTCTAGCTTTGGAACATACAAATATATAAAGATAAATTTGCATAAACTTTTTTATATAAAATATACTTAAAATATAAGTTATCATAAAAAATCTGATGAAGAAAAAAGAGACATATTTCTATGGTTGCAGCAATGTAATAAGAATCTCGAGAGAAAAAGGAAAAAAAGAGATAAGAAAATCCGATATCTCGATTTTAAGTATCTCGCACATATCTATCGAGATGTTGGATAAATTTGTATTCGTACATTGCGCGGGCGAATACAAGAGGAACATATTCAAAGAAACATTATTATTCTGCCAAGTCACAGATACTTGGCTGGATACTATATAACATGAGGAGAAGCAATAGAGAGAGAGAGGCCGCATTCGTTCTAAAAGTCCAGCATAGAAATCTTTCGCTCTCTCCTGATGCTAGCGAACGTGCATACGATTCTAGTCACCGGCTACTATGCAACGACGACGACATAGTTCATAGAAATAGTTGTAACTGCAAAATCTCTTGTTGTCGTTATATTGAATTACGACATTAAAAGTGAGAAATCGTGTTAATTTTTTTTTTATATCTTTATACCATCAAGATTTCGAAAAAAAAAATGTAATTGTTAATTGCAAATTACATATTTTTTCTCCGAAACAATTATGTGTTTTCTTTACACCAATCGATTCCTCTCATTATTTTGTACATAAAAATGTTAAGGTAAGATGATCGAAAAATGAATATTTTACTGGATATTTTATGGTTTACGTAAAATTAGGAAATTATTTCAAGCCTCATAACTCGAAAGGTACTCAATAAAAAAATACTTTATTATAGTGTTTTGAAAAAATTCTCGAGGTAAGCTACAAGAGCTTTTTTTGGGGAAGAGATTACTCTGACACCATGTATAACATACATATGCAAATTGAATTATTATATAAAACTGCTGAAAACAAAATAATGACGAGAAAAATAATGAAAAAGCAAGTTTTAAATATATTTTTCAGTTTAGACATATTTACCAATGAGAACGCAAATGTAATGACATATACGGAGGGTTTTAATTAAATACATGAAGCGAGCCGCGCATGTGCTTGTATGTGCAAATTAAGCATCTCACGGGCGAGATACGCCTTTTCTTGGGATTAGATTTAAAATCGCACATCTGGCTAATTAATAACCGTATTAATGATGAAGTCGTCGATCTAGAAGTATAACATGAAGTCGTTCCCACGTTGAAACACGAGCGAGAGCATTTTGCGGTGATAATGAGCACGGCAACAATGAGGTGAAAAAAATGAGAAAAGAAACGGGCACGGATGTAATTTTTCGTTCGACGATGTCATTATGTGGCGCGTGGCAATAAAATACAAGAAAATAAGGCAAATGTAGAGCACCGGTTCTCGCCCGCGCAGTGACATTTATGAAAGATACATGATGCTTTGAGAAACATATGTGTGTAATATACGAGTATCTCTCGAAATGCAACTTGCATCAATTTTATTGACTTTTATTAACTTTTTGAAATATTAAATTATCGAAGAAATGAGTTAAATTAAATATTATAGAAGATATAAGATTCTTTCTTTATAAAGATTTCCTTTATATTTGGAGATTATCGTTCACAAAAATAAAATATATTAATATATATTAAATATATAAAATATATTAATCAAAACTCTTATGTATCATAAAATTCTGTATTTTCTATGTTAAATATAATATATGATTATAAATGTATAAATATAATTCTAATATTTCAAGCATTATAACATATCTATTTTTATTATTTGTAACGGAAGATTTAATAATCTGGCAGCTTATTTTCATTCAATATCTTTGTATAAAGTGAAATCGGAACAGAATGATTAAAGATGCAATCATGTTTTCACTTTATGCTATCAATGTCGCAAAACACGAATTAAAAACTTGTTATAGAAGCGATTGAGGAGACGATCAGATAATCGTGTGAAATGTTTTGTCAAGTTTAATGTAATTAATTTACACACATTGTACAATAAAAACTGGAAGATATGAAAACAAGAGGCACCTGAATAAAAGAAATTAAGTGACATAAACAATTTATCAGGTTTTGCAAAATATCTTTACCCGGTAATAAAATCATTCTCGATAAACACTACAACGGCAGAACGGCCATTTTGCAGAAAGAAATTTTACTTCCTTAGCATCGCACGAAAAGTCGAGAGGAAACGGCTCGGTATCTCTTGATACGTAATAAAGACAAGAATCGCGTGGAGATTCGAACCGAATATTATTAAAGCCGTGTCCATAATGATATTCAACGATCTTCTCACGAGTAGTTCACAAAGTTAAAAACTTTCCAAGCTCGTGGCTGGAATACGAATTGGACAGACACCGTTAAAAAATGTGCTCGTTGAGAAGTCCGGGTCGGCCATGACCTCAAAAAAGAAAAAAAAACCGAAAAAAAATCGAGATCCGTTGCTTTTCTGTCTCATTTACTCGTTAATAATTAATATAAACGAGGACGGCGAGCTCTCTGCGTGGTATTTTATCGCCTGGTGCTATCTCTTATTGGAAGGAGCGATGGAGCGTGACTTCCATCTCGATCTCACGCGAGCCAGGAGTGAAAAGATGATTAGAGCGTATGAACAATTCGCATTGTTTTCATAATCATGCACTAGACATAATTATTCCCCAATACTCGTGTTAAACAATTTGTATTATTCTAAATACGAGAATTTTTACACGAGCTGAGATAATACAATGCTGAATATTATGAATAAATAGTAATGTAATTATGTTTCAATGTCATATAAAGATTAATTATTTTCGTTCACAGTTGTTCTTAAAATTAAACAATTCCTAAAATTATTTACATTTTTTATACACACATTAGGTATATATTTTTATAAATTCTTTCGTTCCCTACGAATATGATAATAAGATATAATTTTCTTGAATATTTTCCACGCTGCTGGCTATTCTCATTTATTTATATTTATACTCAATTATTTATATTTAATTATTTATTTATTTATTTATATAATTATTTATTTATACAATTATTTATTTATACAATTATTTATTTATATTTTTATGAGGTTTCTAGATTATTCACGTTTGTTTGACAATAAATTTTTAGAACTACATATTACTTTTGTCCAATGAAAATTGCTTCGTATTGAATAGATATATCTCACTATTATGTGAAATTATTAAAAATGTGAAATATGTGAATAATGTTGTTAGAAATTATAATTATATGTGAATAATGTAGCTTTATAGAAATTATAATAGATAGTGAGATAAATATAATTAAATCTATTTATAAGTTTATAATGAAAGAATATAAAAAAATATGAAAAATATAAAAAATCTTTCATTCTTACTGTTTTTAACGTTTTCTCAATTTTATCTTAATTTTAAATTAATCTTAAGTATTAAAAAGAGAGAAGTGAGAGAGAGTCTGCAATTAATTTATTAAACCCTCTTCTATGTCGATATATTTAATTATCAATTCATTTTTCTCATGCAACAAAGTTAATTGTTAATTTTTATTATACAATAGAACACAATCTTCTTGTCTCTAAACTTATCTCAAACAATTTTCGCCATTGTTTTTGTCATGTACTGTAAATATTAATGAATATAGATAATATTCTAAATTCTTTCTTCTAAGCGCAATACAGATTAAATAATACTTGACTAGAGAACAGTATTTCGGTCTTTAACCTTATCATATGCGAATAGCTATATACATATAAGAGAGGAGAAATACATAGAGTTACGTACAAAAGTTTTCTTTATATGTGTCTCGATGAGTGATAGACATAAAATACGAGAGAATTTATTTATAACAATTTATATATAGCAAATAAATTTTTGTTTATTAGCATTATTTGAGAAAAAGATGAATGCTACTATTGTAAAGAAATATTGCTTGAACTAATTATTAAAACTAATTATAAAAACTATCTCCAACTGTTATATTTGCTTGCAAATTATTTCATTGCTATTTCTACAATAGACAAAGTAATAAAAAAGTAATATAATTAGTGTATAAAGATAGTATATTTTTTGTTGCACTTATAAATCAAAATTATATTATTATATATTTATTAATAATTATATATTTTGTAAAATAAAAGAAGATTTAAATATTTATATTCAAAATTTATATGAAATATTTTTATGCAGGTTTTTTCAGATTTCGATTGTAAGCAATACTAGCAGTATTAAAAGCGGGTGCATTAAACTCATTACATTCTCATTGTACTTACCTGTTATTGCGTTATCTTCACCTTCACTTTCTTTCCAGGCATCGAACAGCAGAATTACTTGGAGGTTGTTGCTCGTCTGCTTTGCGGTGCTGCTTATAGGCTTCCTGCAGCATGCTGAAGGTAATGTATAATTTTTGTATCCGCTAATTTCCAACGGCATCTGCTTTTGCAACGATTGCATTCTGAAAATCGTGACGATTAAATCTATTAGTCATAGGCAATTTGAATTTATACCTTGTAACGAATAAGAGCTATTAAAGCTCTTCTAATGATTCTATTATAGATCAGTTATCGATTGATCAATAACGTAATGCCTTATTTCATAGCGGCATTACGTCAGAGTCTTTAGTTCCGAACCGTATATAACGATTGATAATTTCTCCACTATCGATTACATAAATTTTTTGCCGATCAAAGCGATGAGTGCACAGGTATCGGCCGATCTGTCCGCCACAAGAGCACTCACCTGCGCGAGAAAATACTTATGCGCCTTCCGATTACACAAACTCGTATTATATAATGCCCCAAAAAATCGTAAAAGGATCCCCTGTTACAATATTACATGAATATGCAAAATACGGTTCCAGATTAATCGGTTCTAATGGGTGAAAGGCACTTGCCTTTCGAAGTTTCGTGCCGTGTATGTACGTATTAAGCGCGAAATCTTACGCAACGTTGAAATACATATTCGCGCGCGCGTTGCGTAATGGCCGAAAGAAGAATCGGAGCGAATTTTACGTAATTATCCGGCGATTGTGTCTGCATACATATATGTATTCGCCAGGCGCGAGAAAGAGGTTCCGCAGACCGACGACTTCCGCACCGTCGATCTCGAATGATCAGGAAGTCTCAGCCAGTGTCAACAGGTTCAAGGTCACGCGAAATCGTGTCAGCAACAAGAACACGAAGAATGAGCTGCAACCTGACAAGACGGATGATTATAAGGTAGGTGTAAGGTTTGTTAAATATCGACACGTTAACGATAATGATGTTACGAATCATTTCAGCGAATGATTGTTTTTATATTATGCGCGAATTAATCACGCTTTAATTAAGTTAATAATGGTTAATAAATCTCTTTGAGGTTGTTCAACTTAAGGATGTTTGTATCTATTTTCAAAATATTGAGAATTTAATGAAAATTGTACAGAATGTCCTTACATATGTTTAAAATCTTCAGTACAATTTTTAAGGATGTATTGGAGATATATTACAATTAATGAAATCGCCGTGAATTTTTAATTTAACATTCTTAATAACATTCTAAATCGTCATAAATTATTTCAAATTTTTTTACTTGCTCCTTTAAAAGTTATTAATTTTTGAATTTTGCGATTTAACATAGATCTTATGTAAACGTTCAAGAGACATGTAATAAATTATTCACAAACTATAAAAAAAATGATCAAAAAAATTTCATTTTGTAATATTATATTTTTCATACATGTAAAAATGTTCCCACAAAATTTTAAAACAATTTACTTGCTCGTTTTGAAATTATTATTAAAAAATAACTGTGATTATCGGTTTGACGCAATATTGATGATAAAACGTGGCAACATTTTCTTGGAAATTAAGACCTATTTATATTAAAGAATACTTTGAAGTATGATTTCGTGATTTTTAAAAAATCTTTGATCAATTAGAATTCGTATTCTGCCCAACTTTAATGTTTTGATACTTTGGATTAACTTTTGAGACAGACGATCTGTCCAATACATCCTTAAATCGATTCACTAAAGCATTCACAAGTTATAAGGATTTTAATTTGCACCGAATTAACATGTTTTTATGGGAAATGTATAACGACGTCGATTCAACTGACAAAAACACATGGAAATAATATTCAGAACTTGTTTAAAATTTGCAAAAGTTTAGATACAGAGGAAATATTTGGTCAAATAATATTACACAAGTACTAAGTGATTAAAAAGATATTAAATATAATTCAATGAAGGTAGCCATATAACTATCACAAGGCGAAATTCTCTGCCAAAAGTTAATCATTTCGATTAACAAAATTCGGAATATTTCAGTAAAAACGCAATAAATATTAAAAATACATCTCTGCACTGTAGCCAAGATCAAATTGTAATATTCCACACAATTTCTTACTCCAAATACACCAAAAGTGAATATATATTCGTCAATATTGATTTTCAGCTACTTTTTGCTAAGATTGTACATACAAAACATCATTAAGCTCGCTGTGATGCGTCAAAAAATGATCAATTGTTATTTTAAAATTTATATTATGAGGTTTTTTCAAGATCCATATCTCGAAACAATTTAATAGTTTGTGAGGCTGTACCCATATAGCACAGAAGCTTGCTGCAACGTTGCTGCAATGTTACAATATTACTCACTGCAGTGTAATGTTGCTGCACTAATGCAGAGACATTATTTTGTAATATTACTTTGGCAATGTTGTAGCAACGTTTTAACATAGCGAAAATGTATAACATGTGTTTCTTTACTTGCCGCTACGCGGTGACACCCAATTTAACTAACTCGTATTCGAATTCATTTAAGATGGATATAAGGTCTACAAAGGATTAATGTAATAATTATATTTCTTGTGTCAGTTTAATTTCTGGCGATAAACTGACTTGATTTACTTAATCCTAATGAGGGATCTAGATTATTAAACAAATAATTTGTTTAATAATCTGGATCCTTTATTGGATTTCAGAATATTAAACAGATTTTTCTTAATTGAAAATAGAAAATAATAGAAAATAATTAATTTATTGCACATATTAAAATATTCTGATGTCGAATGTATGTAAAATAATTATATGCAATATTATTGAGATAAATATTTAAGAAACATCTAATAAAAACACTAATAGATGTTTTTTTAAAGGCATTTTTTCCTATCTTTCTGACACAAACATTTTTTTATATTTTCAAAGTTTATTTATTAAATTTAAAACGGTGTCTGCATTTGTAGCAAAACGCGTTTTAATATTACAAATACGTTGCACCGTAACATTGCTGCAATATTGCATTGCAATATTTCTACAAGCGGACATTTTACCGTTGCTGCAATATTGCAGCAACGTTGCAGCAATATTTTGCAACATTTCTGCAATGTTGCAATCTTGCAAAGAAATATTTCTGCAATGTTGCTGTAATATTTCTGTAATATTTCTGCCGTATGGGTATCTTGATTTATTACTTTAAGTTAACAAGTTAACGAGCATCGCTTCGTAATTTCTAACGGAGATCAATTTGAGATATATCCAATATCCTGTTCTATTTTGATATTATCAACATTCTCCAATAAACAATTTTCGTCCTGCTAATGTTTTAAGTATTTTGAAAAATTTATATAATACTATTATATTATGTAATTAAAAATTACATGATTAGTAAATATTTTAGTTTATGAAATACAGGGTGTTTTATAAGTGATGAGCAAAATTTCAGGAATGGATTCCTCATGCTTAGAAAAGGAAAAAAAAGGTAATCAACATAGGTTCGGAAATGATTAGTTTTTGAGTTATTAAGATTTTCGTAATACAATAATTTTGTAATACAAATTTTGTCTCGTTTCTCGTCTTAGAAGTCTTTTTACAGACATCAGCAATGATTTTCAAGTTCGATGGTCTGAAAAACATTATTGATGCCTGTAAAAGGATTTCTAAGACGAGAAATGAGACAAAATTTTGTATTAAAAAAATCTTAATAACTCAAAAACTAATCACTTTCGGACCTATGTTGATTAACTTTTTTTTTCTTTTCTTTTTTCTTCTTCTCTAAGCATGAGGAATCCATTCCTGAAATTTTGCCCACCACTTATGAAACACCCTGCATTTTAAAAGAAGAAACATTTTGTGCGTGTGACGATTCTCCTGTATTAATTTTACATGATTTCTTCTACAGTTGGTGTGTTATTATACTAATTGGTCTCAGTATCGCACAAAAATCGGTAAGTTCATGCCAGAAGACATTCAACCTGATCTCTGCACTCACGTTGTCTTTGCCTTCGGATGGCTGAAAAAGAATAAATTGACGAGTTTCGAATCGAATGACGAAACGAAGGACGGCAAAATTGGTCTGTACGAAAGGGTGGTAAATCTTAAAAAAGCCAATCCATCCCTGAAGATTCTGCTTGCAATCGGTATGTTTGTTTTGCTTCAAATTCATATTACTTTGTTGAAAATTATTGATTCTGAACACAAGATAAAACTATATTATTGACGTAGCTATTATGTGTGCGTGTGTGTGTGTGTGTGTGTGTGTGTGTGTGTTATGTGTGTGTTTGATCAGTTTTATCATAATTTTTAGCGATTTAAAATGTATGAAATGCATGTAACAAATCTGTATCCGGATAGAATTACAAAGGAGTTTCCGCTGTTTTATATTTAGGTGGTTGGTCCTTTGGAACGCAGAAGTTCAAGGATGTGTCCTCGACAAGGTACGCTCGACAAACTTTTATCTACAGCGCTATACCATATCTACGAGACAGAAACTTTGATGGTCTTGACATCGACTGGGAATATCCAAAGGGTGGAGATGATAAGAAGAACTATGTTCTGTTGTTGAAAGGTAAAGACTCGCTGAGAAAAAAGCAATAACAATGTAAGTTTCTCAAGGCTAGAAATGTTGGATACACGCGTAATATCAATCTTGATAACACGATTATATTAATTCTTCAATTAATTCTTCAGAATTATATGAGTTCGAGTGACATGACACGTGATCACTTTGACATTTCCAACTTTTTTTATCACGAATAACACAGGCCGACAAAATTTAGACTCAGAAACTAGAATATACTTTTCCTAAAGTTTTTGACACGCTGAATTCGAATCCGAGGTCAGAATTTCTCTGGTGGCTCCGGTTTTCGAAATATTCTAATCTAAAAGTGCCCAAATTACGGGTTTTCGAGATATTAGAGGTTATGTTACATCGTAAGATAATTTTTTTTCATAAAACCATTAATGGGGTCCGAAAGTAATACTCTTCCTCTTTAAAAAACATTTTGATTTGTCCGGATATCTTTTTTTATCTTTGAGAAATCGTATGTTCAAATTAAGTAGACTTATTTCTCGATATTTGGAAAATGATTGATTGTTTATTAATTAGTTTGTAACAAAACTCATTTTAATATACCGAATTACTATTCCGGATGAGCTTGTTCCCGTAGAATCTGATTGAACCATTTACTTCTCAAAAAACATTATTTTTGCAATAGTTTGTTTAAACAAATTGTTTAGACAAATTAAATGTCAAATTTCGAATCAGCGTGCATCAAAACTTTAAAATGTCTTTAAAATGTCTTTAAAAATGTAAATTTCGTGTACATACATTATATTGTACTTATCTGATGCTATTCAATTTCCGAATATCAAAAATATCAAACTACTTAATTTGAATATTCAATTTCTCAAAGATAAAAAAAGATATCCGGACAAATAAAAATGTTTTTTAAAGAGGAAGAGTAGTTCTTTCGGACTCCATTAATGGTTTTATGAAAAAAATTACCTTGCGATGCAACATAACCTCAAATATCTCGAAAAACCGTGATTTTGGCACTTTTAGATTAAAATATCTCGAAAATCGGAGTCACCAGAGAAATTCTGACCTTGGATTCGAACTCAGCGCGTCGAAAAGTATATTCTGGTTTCTGGGTCTGAGTTTCTGGGTTTGGCCAAATTTTGTCGGCCTGTGTAATTTGTCCATATTGCGCTATTTAAATTAATTTTTCATCGTTTTCTTCAGAGCTCCGGGAGGCTTTCGAAGCGGAGGCTCAGGAGAGGAAGAAACAGCGTCTTTTGTTAACTGCCGCGGTACCAGTTGGACCTGATAATGTCAAGAGTGGATACGACGTGCCCGCTGTTGCCAGGTATAATAATAAAAATTTTCTAATATTAATAAAAGATAAATTAAAATACAAAACATATAAATACGAACATAAAATAATGTTATAATGGATAAAAAATAACAGAATGAATAAATTAATTCTTAATTTCTTTTTTTATATCATATCGAAGTTAATTAACCTTTGTTAATTAAGCTTTGTATAAATAATATTTGCTATTCAGTCTCATTCTCCACAGATTGTTTTTTGCAAAATTCTACAAAGTATTCTCCGGATATGCATTTATCATACCTTGATCGCAATATGAAATGCACTCGATTACTTAATACTTAATAATTAACGTGCATTTTTTCATCTACTTAGTTATCTAGACTTTATTAATCTCATGGCCTACGACTTCCATGGTAAATGGGAGAGAGAAACTGGTCACAATGCTCCACTGTACGCCTCGTCATTAGACTCGGAATGGCAGAAGCAATTGAGTGTCGACAATGCGGCCGCAATGTGGGTTAAACTGGGCGCACCAAAGGAAAAATTGATTATAGGCATGCCTACATACGGCCGGTCTTTTACCCTTGCAAATCCGGCAAACTTTCGCGTACATTCAACAGCTAGTGGCGGAGGAAAAGCGGGCGAATATACCAAGGAATCGGGTTTCCTCGCGTATTATGAGGTACTTTCCCATCTCACGTTTACAACATAAATTAATTCCAAATCATAACATTTAAATTAAGAAGATTAGAGAGATTTAGATATACAGGGTGTCCCAAAAGTCCCGGACCGGTCGAATATTTCTAAACTATGCACTTTAGAAAGAAATGTTTCAGACGAAAGTTGTATGGCTTGAAGGGGGCCATTAAACAGTGTCATTGGTTTGACCTTGCACAGTCGTTTGAAGGTCACGTGAAGGTCGCCTTCAATTTTTTAAATGGAACCATCTATTTTTTATTGAATGTCTGGTAGCTCACGTCGAGAGCTTTCCAAAACACTATAATAAAGTATTTCTTCATTAAGTACTTTCCGAGTTATGAGGCTTGAAATTATTTCTTAATTTTGCATAAACAGTAAAATATCTTGTAAAATATTTATTTCTTGATTATCTTACCTTAATACTTTTGTGTATAAAATAATGAGAGGAATCAATTGGTGTAAAGAAAACGCATAGTTGTTTAAAAAAAAAAATGTAATTGTTAATTGCAAATTACATATTTTTTCTTGAAAATAACTGTATGTTTTCTTTACATCAATTGATTGCTCTCATTATTTTGTACATAAAAGTATTAAGGTAAGATAATCGAATATTTTACTAGATATTTTATGGTTTATGCAAAATTAAGAAATTATTTCAAGCCTTATAACTCGAAAGGTACTCAATAAAGAAATATTTTATTATAGTGTTTTGGAGAGCTCTTGAGATAAGCTACATGAATATGTAATAAAAAATAGGTAATTCTATTTAAAAAATTGACGGTGACCATCACGTGTTCTTCAAGTGACTCTCCAATATCAAATTGCCACCATCTGATGGTCCCCTTCAAGCCATACAACTTTTGTCTAAAACATTTCTTTCTAAAGTGCATAGTTTATGAAATATTCAACCGGTCCGGAGACTTTTGGGACACCCTGTATGTCTCCTCTACACTTTATTAGCACAATTAAAGTTGTAATTTTTTTTAAATTTTAAATAAATTTGACAAAATAAATTAATAACATTGTTATAATATTTCATGAAATGTGATTGAGAAATATGATGAAGATTGAAATATTTGTTGAAGAATGAGAGATATAATCATCTTTCAATTTCAGATCTGCGAAATGTTACATAATGGCGCCGCTTATGTTTGGGATGATGAGATGAAGGTACCCTATTTGGTGCATAATGATCAATGGGTTGGTTTCGATGATGAAAAGTCTATCAGGAATAAAATGCACTGGCTGAAAAGCAAAGGTTATGGAGGTGCGATGGTGTGGACAGTCGACATGGATGACTTTAACGGTACTGTTTGTGGTGGAAATGTTCGGTATCCTTTGATAGGCGCGATGAGGGAGGAACTCAGAGGTATTTCGCGAGGCTCCAATGCCAAAGATATCGATTGGAGCGCAGTTGCCACCACCATTACGGAAACAATCGTGAAGAAACCGGAAGCTTACAAGATTTCTGTTTCGGAAGTTCTTAACAAACCGAAAAAACTTCAGAAGTCTACGACACTTGTCATTAACACTCCAACTCACGGTAAAAATATTTCAGATTTTATATCTATAATTACACAAAGAATTAAAGTTATGTTTATTTATATATTTATTTTCTTAGCGTTTAAGATAATAATTAAAAATTTTGCTGCGATAATCTCTCTGATCAAAGATTAATTGCACGTAGTGAAAGTTTTTTTATGTATTGGTAGAAAGAGAAGCTCAAACTATTTGTTACTTGACAAATTGGTCGCATAAAAGGCCAGGAATGGGGCGATTCAATCCGGAAGACATTGATCCGACCCTCTGCTCTCATGTGGTATACGCATTCGCAACTTTGAAAGATCATTTACTTACCGAAGGAAGTGACAAAGATGCTGAAATGTACCAACGATTAATCGCACTTCGCGACAAGAATCCAGACATTAAGGTACATTTCTCCAATTTTTATAAGTTGTATTTAATATTTTTTAATATTATGTTATTATCATTTTTATTGTATTATTTTATGCTCATTTTGAAATAACAAAATCCTACTAAAAAAAGCAATCTCGTGAAAGTTATTTTAATTATAAATTCCGACTCATTTCTCAATCTTTCAACTTTCGCAACATTCTAAAAACAGATAAAAAAGAAAGTATTGAAATGATTAAGATTTAAATAATTATAATTGAATGATTACACAGGCCTGCAAAAAAGGGGGTCAAAATTTCTTTTTAAGATGCAATAGTGATTTTTGACATAATTTTGTGCGCTGAATCCGAATCTGGCCGCCGAATTTGCGTAGCACGTCAGGTTTTTGAGTTATTTGTAGTTGAATAGCCCAAAAATCGCTATTTTGGCCAATTTCATGAATTTATTGTGAGAAACAAAATTTTTTGAAATATTTCTGTCAATGGCATCGTATAGTACTCACCTTCATCTTTCGAATCCACTTTCGATTACCGCCACACGATTTTTTTTCGCTCAGATATACAAGTCATAAGAGTGGTCATGCATAGGGATCTAATAAGCCATTCTAAATCAACCGTGCCACCTTTTTATTTCACTACGAATCAAAATTAGGATAAAAATATACATTTTTAAACCTTCTGTCACCTTTTGAAATTAAAAATGGCGCATCCAATATGGCGAATAGAATCACAATAAAAAGGCATAAAATTTAGAAAAATTTATCAAAATGTGTAACTGTATTAGATATTTTTTTACAATACTTTTTTGGACAACCGAACCTGATATATGTCAGTCTTTTCAACTTTCAACCTCATGGATCTACCATATTGATGTCTATAAATTTTCTTTAACGTAAATTTTCTTACAACGTCATACTTATATATCTCAGCGAAGAAAAATCGCGGCGGTAATCGAAAGTGGATTTGAAAGGCAAAAGTGAATATTATACGACGAAATATTTCAAAAAATTTGGTTTCCTCGCAATAAATTCATGAAATTGGCCAAAATAGCGATTTTTGAGCCATTCAATTACAAATTATTCAAAAACGTGACGTGCTACGCAAATTCGGCGACTAGATTCGAATTCAGCTCACAAAATTACGTCAGAAATCACTATTGCATCTTAAAAAAAAAACCTCGCAGGCCTGTGTTATAATTAAAAAATTGAACAAAAATATCATTTGAACAAGCATATTGTTAAAACTAAATACAATCGTTCATATCTTATGAAAATATTTTCAGATTTTACTTGCTATCGGAGGATGGGCATTTGGCTCGACGCCTTTCAAGGAACTTACCAGTAACACATTCCGAATGAATCAATTTGTTTATGAAGCTATCGATTTCTTGCGGGAATATAAATTTGACGGATTGGATGTTGACTGGGAATATCCAAGGTTTTTTCTAACTTACGTTTTTTTATCTTATTAAATGGTAATATATATACAATTGTATAATATACAACAATGTATATTATAATCTTTCAAAATTTTTATAGAGGAGCCGACGATCGGTCAGCTTATGTTAATCTTTTAAAGGAGCTCAGATTGGCTTTCGAGGGTGAAGCAAAGAGCTCCGGTCAACCAAAATTGATCTTATCAGCCGCAGTACCCGCAAGTTTCGAAGCCATTGCTGCAGGGTAAATATCACAGAGATGACACAATTTGTAATGATAAAAATTTATCCGAATCATTTATTTCAGTTTTGTATGTTGTATATTTAAAAGTTAGTAAAAGTAAGAATAAAATAATGTTTTATTTTCATAAATTAATATATAAGAATTTTTAAAATTTGTATTGAGATTGAAATTTTTCTCTTTTAGATATGATGTTCCTGAAATATCTAAATATTTGGATTTTATTAATGTAATGGCATATGATTTCCACGGTCAATGGGAGAGACAGGTTGGCCACAACAGTCCGCTATATCCTTTAGAAAGTGCTACTAGTTATCAGAAGAAGCTAACAGTGGTAGGTACATAAATATTATATATTTATGGGTAATGTATATGTGTTAATGTTTTTTAATTAATATTATCATTGCGTTTTCCTTATTTTACTTTTAGGATTACAGTGCACGAGAATGGGTAAAACAAGGAGCTCCAAAGGAAAAGCTCATGATAGGAATGCCCACGTATGGTAGATCCTTTACACTAGTCGACAAAGACAAGTTCGATATTGGTGCACCAGCGTCTGGTGGTGGACTAGCTGGAAATTTCACCAACGAATCTGGATTCTTGTCCTATTACGAGGTTTGTTGCATCATTTCGTCACTAATCGCATTTTTATATTATTTTTATTCTTTTTTTGAGAAAAAAATAAAAAAGTATAAAATATCGTAAATAAAATAAAAATATAATGCGAAGTATTTATTAAATATCAATTAAAGTTAAAAAAGTAATATTAATTTTTAATTTTTAAGAATTATATTTTATATGTATAGTATATGATAGTAGGGGAGACCGAGCACCAAAGTAACATTTTTTGTATTATAGGTCACTAATTAATTATCGTTAGAGATATAAAAAAAAGATTATATATGTTATATGTTATATGTTATATGTTAAAAAACTCCATTTATTGTTCTATTATTATATCTATATTTCAATCTCAAATGATAAATATTTAAGAAGCTATTCTATTTTTTCGCAAGTACATTGATTGTTACTTTTATCTTGGGGGCCTCAGACGAAAGTAACATAGTCTGGGGATAAAAGTACTAGTTCTTATTTTCGGAAAAATAAAACAAATATGATTTTTTTTCAATTTAAGGCAACTTTCATAATCTTTTATTAAGCAAGATAACTTTTATTATAAATTTTTTTTGTATATTATTAAATTGAAAAAATAAAATAAATATTTATTTTTATCATCTTTGAAAAATTTAAAAGAAATAATTTTTGTTAAGCAAAATAATTATAAGTAATATCATAAAATAATTATACTTAATATCGCATCAGTTTTGTATTTTTTTAAGTCTAAATAATAGTTTAATTCTAAATAATAGCGTAAAAATTGTATGATAACTACTTATACAAAAGAGATTTGTATGTATTCCAAATCACAATTATGGCATACGTAATAAGAATCTTTGGTACAATTATTATGGGATCTGCCCTTATACTTTAAGCATTGAAACATGTTACTTTCGTCCATGGAGTGTCGTGTTACTTTTGTCCCCAAACACATTTTTTAGAATAAAAGTATTATAACCTAAATATGATGCAAGACTTAGCCAAATGAACTATAAAAATTTATGAATACATTTTAGAAGAATACACCGGCAAATAATTACGTCAAAATATACACTTTAATTAGGCAAAGATACAAAATACTAAAACAAGAAATACTTAGGTGCATAATGCAAATACACTAATTTCACTCCTGCATGTGCAATCGGCGCGATCGTTCTACAACAATTAGCTGAAAAGGAAGAGAATCGGGACGTACGCGCCCTTTTGACTATATAATACAAATTATTCAACATATTGTGTAGTTTATTACGAGGCTTGTTACTTTCATGACGTTGTTACTTTTGTCTCCGGTCTCCCCTACATTTTAGAATAAAAATTTATAACTTATTCTCTAACAAATTAAAATATCTTTTGTTAATTATACTTGTTTGAATAAATGCGTATATAGGTCTGTAGCTTCTTAAATGAAGACAATACAACTCTAGTATGGGATAGTGAACAACAAGTACCATTTGCATACAGAGATGATCAATGGGTTGGATTTGATGACGAAAGAAGTCTTATTAATAAGGTAGGTGATCGTATTCTTAAATTTTTTATTTAATTGTTGAATCAAAATTCCTAATATTATTTTTTGAATAATAATAATTGTGATATACAGGGTGTCCCAAAAGTCCCGGACCGGTCGAATATTTCATAAACTGCATGCACTTTAAAAAGAAATGTTTCAGACAAAAGTTGTATGGCTTAAAGGGGGCCATCAGATAGTGGCAATGATTTGACATGGAAAAGTCATTTGAAAGTCACGTGAAGATCACCGTCAATTTCTTAAATGGAACTCCCTATTTTTTATTAAATATTCTGGTAGCTTATCTCGAGAGCTTTTCAAAACATTAGAATAAAGTATTTCTTCATTGAGTACTTTTCGAGTTATGAGGCTTGAAATCATTTCTTAATTTTACATAAATCGTAAAACATCTTGTAAAATATTCATTTTTCGATTATATTACCTTAATACTTTTATGTACAAAATAATGAGAGTAATCAATTGGTGTAAAGAAAAAACATAGTTGTTTTTAAGAAAAAAATATGTAATTTGCTATTAACAGTTACATATTTTTTTTTAAACAACTATGTGTATTTTTTACACCAATTGATTCCTCTTATTATTTTGTACATAAAAGTATTAAGGTAAGATAATAGAAAAATGAATATTTTATTAGATATTTTATGGTTTATGCAAAATTAAGAAATAATTTCAAGCCTCATAACTCGAAAAGTACTCAATGAAGAAATATTTTATTATAGTGTTTTGGAAAGCCCTCGAGATAAGCTACACGAATATGTAATAAAACATAGGGGATTCCATTTAAGAAATTGAAGGTGACCTTCACGTCACCTTTAAATGGCTCTCCAAGGTCAAATCATTGCCACTATCTGATGGGCTCCTTTAAGCCATACAACTTTTGTTTGAAATATTTCTTTCTAAAGTGCATAGTTTATGAAATATTCGACCGATCCGGGACTTTTGGGACACCCTGTATATATATATATATATATATATATATATATATATATATTACTATTATTATTATTCCAAATAATGGCGGCGTGCAGCGAAACGGTGATTGGGGAGGCAAGGGGTGATAAGTGTGTAGGCGCACGGCGAAAATTCTTTCCCTTTCCAATCACTGCTTCGCCGCGCGCCGCCATTATGTTACAATGAGATCGCCTTCACCGCCACGCACTTCTAGTCATGCAGATTGGCCAATCTTTTTTAATTAATTTTTCGTTAATTATTGCGAATATCGCAAAATAGTATAGTATCCTCCTTCTTAATTTGAGCCAATCTACCTTCACACTTCCGGACTGCGAAAATGTTCCTGACACCCTGTACATATTGTTTGAATAATAATTGTGATGCACTTTTTTATTCACAGATACATTCGTTTCTTCCATTTTAAATACTGTATTTTTTTACAGATGGCTTGGCTTAAGGAAGAAGGTTTTGGAGGCGTCATGATCTGGTCAGTTGATATGGACGACTTCAGAGGTTCTTGTGGAGCAGGAAGGTATCCGCTGATTAAAGCTATGAAGAAGGAATTACAAGACTACAAAGTCAAGCTGGAGTACGATGGTCCTTATGAAAGTACTTCGAGGAATGGAAAATATACTACTAAAGATCGTAAGTAAATCGACACATGTATATAGAAATATTTTTATTGCAAAAGGTTAATATTACAAGGAAAAGAAAAAGAATTAAATTTTAAAATCAATAAAATTATGTAAATGAAAGAGAAACAAAAAAAGAGATCAAAATAGTTATTAAAAATCTTTTTTATCTTAAAATAAATTTCGCAGCTAATGAGACGATTTGTGACGAGGAAGATAATCATATATCTTATCATGCGGATAAGAATGATTGCACGATGTACTATATGTGCGAGGGCGAGCGCAAACATCACATGCCCTGCCCGGTAAATCTGGTCTTCAACCCCAATGAAAACGTTTGCGATTGGCCGGAGAATGTCGAGGGTTGTTTGCAGCATACACAGGCGCCACCGGTTTAAAAGCGAGAAACATAATAAAAAGTAAATGAAATTTGTAAAATAAAGAAGCAACGAAAGTGTCTAGGGAAAATAATATTATCAAAAGTATTCATTATAGAATTCATAAGTGACGAGACAGATGTATTATCGCGCGTTAATCAACAGAATTTTTCCTCTATTCACGAATTTCTCTTTCTTTCCATTATTATATATCTTACAAGTACCTTATTTACTTTTAAGAATCTTTTCCATTCTCGTCTCTCTTTACTTTCGCCATTTGTATAAAGCACAAACGGAATCACAACAATTATGTTTGTAAATAAAGATTTCTCTCGAAATAAATGAAAAGAAATAATAATTATTTTCTTTCTTGTTTTGCGCTAATAAAATACTGTTGCCCTATCTGTCTATATCTGTCGATATCGTAGAGAAAATAACAAGAAATATTTTTCGTAATTATTTAATTTTATTTTTTATTGCTAATCTCTTACATAAAAAATCACATTAAACTTTAAAAAGACTAGACCCAAAAATTATTCATCATAATATGAACTCGCCGTTAATTAGCAATGAAAACGAAGATGAAAAACTCGACAAAGGCCAGCCAAGCTGTCGCCAGTCGTTCGTAATTTCCCGAACTGAGAGCGGATGCTTGACAAGCAGTATGCGGAGTTCCTAACGTTAACAACACCTTATCGGAAGAGTAAGACGGGGTTGTTTCCGTACATACAGCTCGGCCAGCTATGGTCCTCAATTGTCTGGCATCAGACTGCGATGCTGTATGAATCTGTCGAGATTCTCTAAGCCATCTACGCAGCCATAAACTCAGCCACGCAATCTCGCAATCGCATTCGAGCGGGTTCCCGGATACTTGAAGTCCACCTGTAGAAAAAGCAATATATATTATGTATATAGTAAATATTTTTTATGTAGAGGATGTCCCATTTTATTTTTGTCAGTCAAATATCTCAATATTACTTAAAATTAGAAAAAATATTTCAGACAAAAGTTGTATGGCTTGAAGGAGGCCATAAGATGGTGTCATTGGTTTGACGTTGAAAAGTTGTTTGAAGGTCACGTGAAGAACCTTCAATTTTTTAAACGGAATCCCCTATTTTTTATTACTTATTCTTGTAGCTTATCTTGAGAGCTTTCCAAAACACTATAATTAAGTTAGTTTTCATTAAGTATTTTTTGAATTATGTGGCTTGAAATCACTTCTTAATTTTACATAAACTGTAAAATATCTTGTAAAATATTTATTTTTCGCTTATCTTATCTTAATACTTTTATTTACAAAATAATGAGAAGAATCAATTGGTGTAAAGAAAACACATAGTTGTTTAAAAAAAAAATATGTAACTTAATTTCAAATCACATATTTTTGTCTTAAAAACAACTATGTTTTTTTCTTTACACCAATTGATTCCTCTCATTATTTTGTACATAAAAATATTAAGGTAAGATAATCAAAAAATAAATATTTTACAAAATATTTTATGGTTTATGTAAAATTAAGAAATGATTTCAAGCCACATAATTCAGAAAGAATGAAAACTAACTTAATTATAGTGTTTTGGAAAGCTCTCGAGATAAGCTGCAAAAATATGTAATAAAAAGTAGGCAATTTCGTTTAAAAAATTGAAGGTGACCTTTACGTAACCTTCAAGTAATTATTCGAGGTCAAATTAATGACATCATCTTATGGCCCCCTTCAAGCCATATAACTTTTGTTTGAAACATTTTTTTCTAACTTTGAGTAATATCGAAATATTTGACTGATAAAAATGGGACACTCTGTATAATAATTTTATAACGTTATAAAAAAATATTAAATATTAATAATAACTTTTAATTATTTTTCTAAATTACTATGTTGATTAATTTAATATGTTTATTATTTTATATGTTATATGTTTATTAATTTAAATTAATAATAATTTTTAACTATATTTTTAAATTACTATGTTTATATTTATATTTTTTACTACAAACTTACCAGCTACCATATTGGTCCCAACAGTTTCCCAAGAAAGATTTCCGTAAATTATCGACGGACTCAGTTCGTTGATATGATTGTTCCTTAGATCCAATGTAAGCTGCGATAATCTTTTCGTTAACGATAGAAAAATATCCGATTGAAGTCTTTGAACGTGTGTGTCTTTGATTCTCAATATTAATTCTCCACCTTCGATAGTGGAGAACGCTTCGGAGGAGATTAACTCGAGGTCGTTTCCGGTGATTGTCAACTCTTTCAAATGTTTCGTGAAGACATTTTGAATTTGATGTCTCAGCAAATGTTCCGTCACCTGAATCTCGACCATTCGAAGAGGTAGTCCGGACAACAAGTGACGTAGATGGAACCCGTCGGCTTGAGGCCACGTTTGAATTCGCAGATGCTTCAAATACTTTAAAGGTCGAAGACAATCTTTATCCACTGACCTGGTTCGATTTAAATTCCTTAAATTTAATTTTTCTAATCTTGGGTAACCCAAGAAACTATCTTTTGTCATTTCCTGTAAAATCATGCAAAGGTGTTATTTTTGTCAAAATTTTTGTCCTCCCGAAAAATTAAAAACGCTTTTTTGATTTTCTTTTAATTTAATTTTACCTCAATAGGATTGCCAGATACGTCAAGCTCCCTCAATAAGTTCAGCCTAACACCGGGCATTGATGTCAATGAGTTATTTACTAGCAAAAGAATCTTTAAATCTCCTAGATATTGAAACTGCTTGTCAGTAGTTTCGTCAACATTGTTGAAGGATAAATCCAAAATATTTAACTTCGTCAGTGGTAGTAATGGTATGCTTCTAAGGCCGCAATTGGCCATGTAAAGTTGCCGAAGATTTTGCAAGTAATGAAATAACTCTTTGAAGTTTGCCTGAAGAATATTCTGAGACACATTCAAGCTAAGTAATCTTCCCAAGGAAACGAATGAATTATCTGGCAGTATACTCAGACGATTTTGTGCGAGATTCAGAGATACTAAATAAGATGTCGGGAAAGCAGTCGAGTCAAGATGATCCAAAAAGTTTTCCGCCATATTGAGATCTCTCAGAGTGTAGGCAACTTCTAAGAATGACGGTGATGGTACGACGGTGAATTTATTGTGGCTAAAGTCGAGGATCTCCAGTTTAGTACCCTCGAAAACGTCTTTCGGCAATGATCGAATCTTGTTATTTGAGAGATTCAGGATCCTCAAACTTTTTAGGTTTCTAAATTGTTCGGTTAACAGCTGGACAATTTCGTTTCCGCCAAGCTCCAACCGTTGAAGAGATTTTAAACCGTGAAAGGATTGTTTACGCAACGTGTCTATCTTGTTGTCACTTAGATCCAGAATTTCCAAATGAGGGAACGCGAATGTTCCTGTGAAACAGCATATATTATAATTACTGAAAATTTTATTGTCTTAGTATATTCGATAAAGAATGTTAGAGCTGCTAAGAATGATTTTGATTTTTTGAAAATTGCATATAAGAAAAAAAAATACTGTTTTGATTTTTTTCACCTGACTCAATCGTTGTGAGAAAATTGCTACGCAGATTTAAGCTTTTTAAATCTGGCGTTCCATAGAACGTATTCGCTGGTAAATAACTGATATTGTTAAATCCAAGATCCAATCTAGTGAGATTGTTCATCATGGATCCCGAGTCAATGAACGCGATTGCATTATAAGAAACATTCAGAGCAAAGTCGGGACCACCAATCTCCGCTATAGCACCCAAATCCAGCATAGTTAGCTTGTTAAATTCTAAGTGAAGGAAACGCAAGCTGGACAAACCGTACAAGGCATTTCTCTCCATTTTCTGTATTCTGTTGTAAGCTAATGATATGGTAACCAGCTTTGGACAATCCATGATGGAGCCGGATGACAAGACTTTTATTCGATTGCCAGTCAAGTCGAGAGATAGCAACTCAGTCAGATTATGAAAACTTGATTCTGGGATCGCCTCCAAGAAGTTGTATCCTAGTTTAACATCTCTTAATTCCGGATGTACGCTTGAGAGGAATATCCTCTCAGGCAAATAATGCAGTCTGTTCGATTCCATGTTAATATAACGTAGTTGTTGAAAAGAGTAAAAGGCAGTCGCTTCAATTGTTTGGAAATTATTGTTGTCTAATACCAGCCAACGAAGATTCGAAAGCGGCCTGAGTGCACGCTGAGGAAAAACATCTGTAGCAAAGGCGAAGCTCAATTCAAGAATGTCCAGGCTTTCCTCGATACCAACAAAGCAATCATCATCGAGTTCCGTCAAATGATTGAAAGATAAACTGAGTTCCTTTAATTTGTCTAAAAAATAATGTTCTATTAAATTCAAATACAGAGTGTCCCAAAAGTCGCGGATCAGTCAAATATTTCATAAACTATGCACTTTAGAAAGAAATGTTTCAGACAAAAGTTGTATGGCTTGAAGGGGGTCATCAGATAGCGGCAATGATTTGACATGGAAGAGTCATTTGAAAGTCATGTAAAGATCACCGTCAATTTCTTAAATGGAACCCCTATGTTTTATTACATATTCGTGTAGCTTATCTCGAGAGCTTTCCAAAACACTATAATAAAGTATTTCTTCATTGAGTACTTTTCGAGTTATTGAAATCATTTCTTAATTTTGCATAAACCATAAAATATCTAGTAAAATATTCATTTTTCGATTATCTTACCTTAATACTTTTATGTACAAAATAATGAGGGGAATCAATTGGTGTAAAGAAAACACATAGTTGTTTTAAAAAAAAAATGTAATTTGCAATTAACAATTACATATTTTTTTTTAAAACAAGTATATGTTTTCTTTACAGCGATTGATTCCTCTCATTATTTTGTACATAAAAGTATTAAGGTAAGATAATCGAAAAATGAATATTTTACTAGATATTTTATGGTTTATGCAAAATTAAGAAATGATTTCAATAACTCGAAAAGTACTCAATGAAGAAATACTTTATTATAGTGTTTTGGAAAGCTCTCGAGATAAGCTACACGAATATGTAATAAAACATAGGGGTTCCATTTAAGAAATTGACGGTGATCTTTACATGACTTTCAAATGACTCTTCCATGTCAAATCATTGCCGCTATCTGATGACCCCCTTCAAGCCATACAACTTTTGTCTGAAACATTTCTTTCTAAAGTGCATAGTTTATGAAATATTCGACGGGTCCGGGACTTTTGGGATACCCTGTATCTGCAATTATGTAAGATATTTCTATTAACGTTTTAATGTTTTCTTTAAGAAACGGAGATGAAAGTAAAATTATAATTAAGTTTATAGAAATATTGTATTGAAATTAAGTATAGATATATATAATATTAATATATTAATCAATAAACA